GAGCACTGCGGGGGGGGTTCCGAGCACTGCGGGGGGGGGTTCGGAGCACTGAGGGGTTTCGGAGCACTGCGGAGGGGGTTCCAAGCACTGCGGGGGGCTCCAAGCACTGCGGCGGGGTTCCGAGCACTGCGGGGGGGTTCGGAGCACTGCGGGGCGCGGGGAGGAGGCATTCCGAGCACTGCGGGGGGTTCCAAGCACTGCAGGGGGAGTTCTGAGCACTGCGGGGGGGCTTTGAGCACTGCGGGGGGCTCCGAGCACTGCGAGGGAGTTCTGAGCACTGCGGGGGTCTTCGAGCACTGGGGGGGGCTCCGAGCACTGCGGGGGGGTTCTGAGCACTGTGGGGGGCTTCGAGCACTGCGGGGGCTCCGAGCACTGCGAGGGGGTTCTGAGCACTGCGGGGGTCTTCGAGCACTGGGGGGGGCTCCGAGCACTGCGGGGGGGTTCTGAGCACTGCGGGGGGCTTCGAGCACTGCGGGGGACTCCGAGCACTGCGAGGGGGTTCACGACCTCTGGAGGCCAGTTTGACCCAGAGGCGGGTCCATGGGCTCCGAGTTCATGTCTACGAGTGTGGCCGGAGGGAATACTCAGAGGCTCAGGAAGACAGGTAGGCAGGATGTCACAGCGTCACTTAGAACAGCCGTGGAATGTGGAGTCCTCCCGAAAGAGGACAATTTGAATGTCCAGTGATATGAGAATTGATCAGACCACTCGTGCTGAGCTCAGTCAAGGGGCGTCAATGCACATTTCAGAAATAACATGTTCAAATCTCACCTTTGACGTGGGAAATACCTCGTTATGATCTGATATCAGGTGAGAAAGAGGAAAAGTCAGCGTTACGAAGGGACAGATAGTCACGCGCAAGGTCCGCACGGGGCTCAGAACTCTGGACACCGCTGTCACGATCTTAAAACCTCTCTGTACCTTCCGATCAGAATTGCCCAGGAACACACCCCACAGTCCAGTGGCGAAACCGCCAGCCCCCTTCTGAGGCTGCGCCACCCCTGTTCTGATGGGGCTCCGCCAGGCCAGTCGCTCCGTCCTGTGCTTACCCCCGATGCTGTGGAGGGGAGTTCGAGACAGGGCGGCGGGCCCTCGCGTCAGCTGGCCTCACCCTGGCCCCCGGGAGCTCTGGTCCTGGTGCTCGGGCGCGATCACTGGGTTCCAGCCCACGGAAAGACCACGGTTGGGAGATCTGGGATTGGCATCGCCAGCTTGGGTGGCGGGTCCTGCCCCCGCAGCAGCCAGGATCCTAATCCCCACGGGTGCCGCCTGCAATCCCAATCCCGCCCCGTGGGTGCAGAGGGCCTTCCAGAATGTTCTCCCTCCCATTGGCTGTCTCCTGGCCTCCCTTTGTCTGCTCCTTGGGAACGTAGCGTTTCCTTTACGTGACCACGGGTGGGGTTACCACTCGCCCTCTGCCATGTCCATTTAAACACAGGATGGGAGCAGGACAGTCAGGTTTTGAGGGGGAGGCTCACAACTGCACCTCTGGAGCCACCAGGCCCCTCGGCCTTCCCCCCACCAGCACCCCCACACCTGCACCTGTTCCGCAGGTGGGGGCGGGACGGGGGAGGTGGGGGCGGGAAGAAACCCCATCTGCCGCACAAGTCACGTCCATGCAACATGCCAGCATCTTAATGGTGATCATCTTCAATACACATCTTCTTATCTGTGCTCTGATCATCTTTATAATCCAAAGGGGTATTACCAATAAAATGACAGAGCAATTAAATAAAAGTAGCTCGGACTAGCACTTGGGCCGTCCGGTTTTTACGTTCTCGAGGTGAGTCTCATGTGTAGCCGGGGCTGGGACCCAGGCTGCCAACCTCTCACTTTACGAAAGTGAGAGCTGAGCCCGGAGCCGTTTGCTGAGCCCTCAGTGTGGTGCTGGGAAGGAGGTTCTGCTCGAGACGCAGGGTTCACGGGGAAGTCGGGTCTCTTAGCCACTGGGAACTCCTTGCTGTTGTCACTCTTTTGGACTCCACACAATGACACGCTCAGAGCTCCGAAGATATGATTCATTATTTAATTAAATGTATTGGGGTCACACTGGTTACTAAGATTATGTAAGTTTCAGCAGACGATTCTAAGACACGTCATTTGTATGTTGCGTTGTCTGCTCACCACCCAGAGTCACATCATCTTCCATCACCATGAATTTGGTCCCTTTACCCTTTACCACCTGCCCACCCCCTCCCTCTGGTAACCACCACACCGTCGTCTGCGTCTATCAGTTTTGTTTGTGTGTCTCATTTGTTCATTTGTTGCTTTCAGTTTTATATTCTACCTGTGAGTGAAAGTAGATGGTTCTGGCTTTTTCTGTCTGACTCATTTTGCTTAGCATGACATGCCCAAGGTCCATCCATGCTGGCGCAAATGGCAGTATTTCGTCTCTTCTGATGGCTGAGTCGTACTCATTGTGTCTGTACCACATCTTCTTTATCCAGCCGTGTATCGAAGGACACGTTGGTTGTTTCCATGTCTTGGCCACTGTGAATAATGCTACAATGAGCATGGGGTGCATATATTTTTACAAATAAATGTTTACACAATTTTCAGATAGACACTCAGAAGAGGGCTTGCTGGGTCATGTGGTAAGTCTATGCTTAATTTTTTGAGGACCCTCCAGACGGCTCTCCACAGAGGCTGCTCAGGTCCCGTCCCCACCAGCAGGGAATGAGGGTTTCTGTGTCTCCACAGCCTCCAGCACTTGTCTTTGCCTGTCTTGTTGATAACAGTGATTCCAACAGGTGCGAGGCGGTATCTCATGAAGTTGGCTTTGCCTTTCCCTAGTAGCTAGTGAGGCTGAGCATCTTTTCATACATCTGTTGGCCATTTATGTGTCTTCCTTGGAGAAATCTCTGTTCGGATTCTCTGCTCATTTTTTAATTGGATTGTCTGTTTGGTGCTGGGCTGTATGAGTTCTTTACATATTTTGGATATTAACCCCTTGTTGGAGCTGTTGTTTGCAAATATCTTCTCCCATTTGGTTGGTTGTCTTTTTGTTTGATAGTTGATGGTTTCCTTTGCTGTGTTGAAGCTTTTTAGTTTGATGTAGCTCCATTCATTTATTTTTACTTCCCTTGCCTTATTAATTTGGGGTCAAATTAATAAAACCCTTTCTAAGACAAGGTCCATAAGTTTAGTACTTATGTTTGTATCTATTAATTTATTGTTTCAGGTATCACATTTAGGTCTTTGATCCATTATGAGGTATCACACTTTCTGACTTCAAACTATACTACAAAGCTACAGTACTCAAAACAGCATGGTACTGGCAGAAAAACAGACATACAGACCAATGGAACAGAACTGAGAGCCCAGAAATAGAGCCACAACAAGTATATGGGCAAATAACTCTCGACAAAGACATACAATGGGGGAAAGAACGCCTCTTCAATACATGGCACTGGGAAAACTGGAAAAGGATGAAGACGTGGTGCAAATCGGCTTCCTGGAACCTACACCTGTCACATGTGGTAGCTGAGGAAAGCTGTTACTTATTCCCCGCTACCTAGAAGGCAGTGACGTGCCTCATGCAGCTGCCCAAGGAGCAGAGGACCCCTCTCCACCACGTCCCCCAGCTCCGATGCCCAGGGTTATGGCCAAAGAGCTTCGTTTCGGAGACCCTCCCTCTCCAGTGTCCCAGCTGGGCAAGAATGTGCTAACTGAACCAGCAAACACATATGTACCAAGTCTCTGCCACATGGCCAACACTACTCTAGCCTCTACTATTAATGTTAAGATTTTATTCTGTAATAAAGGCAGAACCACGCAGCCACTTCTATGACGGTCCCATGAAGGGGTTTTGTTCACCGGGGCGGGGGGGGGGGGGTGGAATCTCTGCCCTCACAAAGCAGCAGTGAAGCCGAGGCAGACAGAGTCCGGCAGCTGCCCCAGCGCATGAGAAGACCCGTTTCAACCACCTGTAAGCACCTTCAGGAACCCAGGGACAGCTCTCCGGGAGCGACCTGCCGTCACGACATGGACAGAAAGCACGTTGGGTCCTCGACAGAGTCAGTGCGATTCCAAAGAAAACTTAGAGAAGGAGGAGACCCTGTCTGGCCTGGCCGCACAGCTGACAGAGGGAGAAGGCAGCGTCGAGCCCCCGAGGACATCGGTGGAAGTCCCGCCGACAGAATGTGACTGTATCTTGGCTTCAGGAGCCGAGAGGCATGTTCAATCTGACACGTGGACCGGGCCCACAGTACACGCTTCCTTAAACTGTGTTCAGGAGGGCATGTCCCTAGGGCAGGGTTGCAAGTGGCCACAGTAGAGGGCCACCAGGAAGATGCTGTCTGACGGACCCAGAGAAGCCCCTTCCCCAAACCCTTCCAGCCCAATAGCCATGTTCATCAGCAACGGGTGATTATCACCTTGGCCCATTTGGCTCAGCAGTTAGAGCATCGACCTGAGGACCAAAGAGTTGGTTTCGATTCCCTGTCAAGAGCATGTACCTTGGTTGCAGGTTCGATCCCCGGTCCAGGTCAGGGTCGTGTGGGAGGCAACAGATGGATGTGCCTCTCTCACATCTATGATTCTCCCTCTCCCTCTCCCTCCCTCTACTCCATCTAAACGTCAGTGGGAACACATCCTCGGGTGAGGATTAATGCGAGCAACAGGTGATTGTTCCTGGAGCTCCACAGGTGTGAGGAAGGTGCAGACTGTCAAGCGTGCAGCCTCGGAGCTCACCGGCCCCTCCAGCGCGTCGCCCAGAGCATCCCGGGGCGCTCGGGTCAGAGCCGGTCTGCACGTGACCGTGACGAGGAGCACACTAGCTCATGGGGGTCCCCTCTGGTCCTGAGCAGCTCTGGTCATTCAGAAGATGGATTTGTCCCCTTTCTACCCATCCCAGCTGGTCCTGCCCTCTGTCTGTGCAGAAAACAAATGTGAACTCTTCCAACTTTTAAAATATTTGCAAACGGCTGTCCTGTTCCACGGAGTCTGCTTGTCTTCAAACTAAACAAATCCTGCCTCTTCACCCATTCCTCACCTCCCAGAGTCCCCACTTACAATGGCAAATACCTGGGCAAACACCTGTGGTTCTTGAACGTGAGAGAGGTAGGTGGAGTCACAATTTGCCCAGAGGGGAGAAAGGGAAATCACAGGCAGGTGATCAAAATAACACTTCTTTACAATTTCCAGAGGCAACCTTCTTAAAGTTTTAGGTTTATACCTGCCCGATTACTGAAGAACCTCTCAACACAATATTTTAACATCAGGGAGACCTCCACCAGACTCCAGTGGGTGCAAAAACCCACCGAGCATTGATCTATGAGCCCTGTGCATCAAAGATTGAGATCTCACTTGGTAAGAATGAGTCTCATTAGTAGGAGAGTGCATTCTATGTAAATGCAGCCTAGTGGGGCCTGTTAGGGAGATTCAACCAGACATCCTTCTTCAAACAGCTCATTCCATCTCCCAGCCCGGGGCCCCTCCTCCGCCCAGCAGAGTCCAAGCAGGAATGGCCCTCACAGGTTGCAGAATGACCCGAGCACAGCAGAGGCTGATTCAACAACTGCAGTGAGGGTTGCATCTCAAGTCTGGGTATGAAAGGAGACCTGACCACGGCCAGATGTTTGTCATGAGACAGTGTCCTTGGGAGACTCATTGCCCCAGGCTGAGATCCCAGGGCACCAAGGCTGCTCTGAGATGTGTTCTCTCAGCTGGGGCGTGCAGAACACTTGGAGCTATTTTGCTCTTTAAAATGTTAGAAACTCTTTTCCCTCCTCCTGTGTGATGCACTTTACAGACCACTCTGAAAGTGTGGGGTTGGGGGGTTGGAAAATGGATGATTTGTAACCTTGTGTTAATGCATCCTCGCTATCTGGCCAGCCCAGGTGCAACTGAGTGCTTCATTTGCATGTGAATAAGATAAGGTTTGCCTGGGTGGACTTTTGGGTCCTAGGGTTCAAGAATGTCTGTGTTTGTTGTTTTTTAGTTTCAAAATCTCTTTCCCCGTAAAAGCGAGAGACAAGCTGGGCTGTGTGGTTTGCAGAGACACCATCTCAAGGAAATAATTTACATAAAGGAAATAATAATTCACATGTAACCTGGGGGAACCAATCTGCAAATAAATGGGGCTGTGTCCAAAGATCTGGAGCATTTGCTCCCTTGCAAAGCTCCCCCTCACTCCAAGCAGCGTGTGCTTGTAGTTCATTGCGTTGCACCGATCCCAGCAGGCTGAGAGACAGCAAGTGGTGACCCCAACGTGACTTTGGTACACAGCAGCGAGACTGCACGAAAGCTTCAGCCAATACACCCTGAGGGCCTGGAGGAGGAAACAGGAGACATAGCACCTGTTTTAGCTCCAAACCCTCCGCAGCCTGCTGAGCTGTCAGAGGGTCTCATTGGGGGAAAGCCAGAGGGGCCCGTCCACGTCACGGGAGTAGTAGTGACAACAATAATTGGCCATTTGAATTGTTGTCTGTGCCAGGCATTGCTCTCAGCCAGGGACTGTCCACTGCAGGCCACGAGAATGTTTAAAACACGCAACACCTGGGCCCCGACCTCTTTCCCACATCAAAACATAAGAACAACCAACACAGCAGTAGCCATCCAGTGTGAATAAATCAAACATATGCCTTTTCTTGTCAGACTGACAAAAAATGTAGTATGCCTTTTGGGGTGCCACGGAATTTCAGTCTTTAGCCGGTGTGCTCCATGAGCTGGAAAGGGTTGAAAATCGCTGCTCTGAGCACTTGGTGTGAATTAACTCACTGAGCTCTCAGAACAGCCCCGTGAGGTACATACTGTTCTTATCCCGTTGGGCAAGTGGGAACAGAGAGGTTAAGCAACTCCCCCAAGGTCACACAGCTGTCAGGTAAGTGCAGTGCCAGGACTTGAACTCTGGAGGTTGGGTCTGCGCCGTTACCATTTCTCTTTATTTTGTTCCCGTGCCTGCCACCTGGGCCAGTGACCTTCCACTTGTTCCTGCGTGTCTTCCCGCTCCACCAGCAGAACAGGTGCCCCGGTTCAAGGGCCTGGTCAAGGACCGCAGGGACTTGTTATCACCACGAGGGGGCGGTGTTGTCACATGGAGCCATCCGCAGCCTCACCACCTCACAGGACATTCCAGACAGCCCCTAGCTGCCCTTTCTCTGGCCCCATCTGGAGGAGAGGGGTGTAAATTACAGAAACGCCCAGAAACTATTTACCTAAGCGCATCTTCGTCTGTCCTGCCCTGATCCTCCTGGTGTATCACAACCTCGCATTACACACTTGTCTTCCCAGCAGGGGGGTCTTTCTTGGGGACAGAGACACTGCCCCTTTATACCAGGAGTCTCCCTCACCTGTGGCAGGTGCTGAGCAAGTGGACAAAGGATGAACCGGTTTTTCAGAGGTCACCTGGCCCCCCAAGGAGCAGTCGAAGGAAGAGCCAGGGGCCCTCTGGAGCTGCCCTGGACGGACCCGGGCTTCGCGGTGCTTAGCCACCCCCGGGTCCCAATAGCACGAACCCAGGGGCCTCTCTGGAACATCCTGGGCTGAGCTCTCAAACTGCAAGACCCAGACTCTGCTGCCACCAACCCAGCCTCCACAGGACGGTCCGGGCTTAAGCAGAACAGAGGCCAAGCTGAGCTCTGGGCGATTTCAAGCAAGTGGGCCCCGACCTGGGCAGTCCTGGGCTCTCCTGCGGACTCCACAGCGACAAAGCCGAGCACCGGGAAGCTCTGAAGGCCGTCCAATCAGAAATGTCCAGCAGCCGGTCACCTTTCTGCGCCCCTGTTCTTAAACACCTGGGCCCCAGGGATAAGGTGGATGATCCCTGATACCCAGAAACCTGTTAAGGTTTTTAACAATGAAAAGGAGAAATAACATCTACCCTTCCAATTGTTAGGTAGAAATTAATAAAAATTTAAAATCTGTACTTGTTTGGTTTTTTTAGAAATCTACTAAGGTATCTATAAAAGTCAGAATTAGAAAAGTACATCCATATTATGTTTTCTCGTTCATAAATTTGCCAACTGGGAATGGTCTGTCTCGGTTACGACCCGCCTGTGTGTTCCCTGCAGCTCGTTAGTGTGAAGGCAGTGAGACCCTCCTTCGCGGCTGAGACACTCGGTTACTTTGACGGCTACGCAGACGTAGGTGAATAACAGAGAACTGTGGCAACGTGAGACTGTTCTGAAGGCCACCCAGGAGGTTACCACGCTGACTTCCGAGGCATCTCCGCCAGTCCTGTACACAGTTCACACACTCAGACGGTTCTTTTTCTTTTCATCCTCACCCGAGGACATTTCTGCATTTATCTTCAGATGAGCCGGAGGGAGAGAGGGAGGAAGAGAGAGAGAGAAACATCCATGTGAGAGAGACACATCGAGTGGTTGCCACCCGCACGACCCCAACCAGGGCTGGGGACAAACCGCAACTGAGTACGTGCCCTTAGCGGGCACCGAACCCGGGTCTCTCTGGTCCGTGGGCCGCCGCTCTAACCACTGAGCCGCACCAGCCAGGGCCACAGACGATTCTTTACACAACGTCACTGTGTCTGTGCACATGCTTCTCTTCCTGTCTCTTGACCTGTCTTTGCCCCTTTCTCTCCTTTCAAGTCTCGCTTCCTCGGTGTGGATCCTGAAATTCCCTTTCTGCGCCTCCATAGTCTATCTGCTTAATTTTCACACAGAGTCACACAGTCCAACGACTTCCTTCTCCCAGCTGAATGGGAAGAAAGACAGATGATAAAAATGGGTGGTAGATAATGTGATACTAGAGAGAGGAGAGATAGATTGATGACCGATGGTAGGTAGATGATAGATGATAGATCAATGATAAATAGATTGATGGTCGATGATAGACAAACAAGGGAAGAAGGAAGGAGCGAAGGAAGAATTCACGTGTTGTTTGTTGACTTAACCCTTCTGTGAATCTTAGGTGGTTCCGAGACCTCCGGCAGAAAGCGGTTCTCCTGCCTCCATCTGGGTCCATAAGGACCATCGGCCTCGCTTCTCCTCGCACCTGCTCCTCCGGCGCCAGCCTTGCTCCTTCCCACACAGACTGGACGTTCCCGGGTGTGGGCTCAAGTATTTGCACTGACTGCGGTTCGCCCTGGCTGAGCCTACACACCCTCCCCGGGCCCTTCACCTCCTTCCCCGAATCTCTCTGTGGTTCGCTGGACAGCGCAGGGCCACAGGCTCTGAAGGACCCTGTGTCCTGCCCCACACACCCCGACCCCCCCGCGCTGCGCTCCGTGTCTGAACCCCGTCCGCAGCGCACTTTGGCGGTGGTCATCTGGCCGAGATTGGCCACCTCAGTGACAGGGAGCTCACTGCCCCTGGAGGTGACCCGGTCATTTCTGCCGTGTCCTCACGGTTAAAACGCGCTTCTGACACCTTCACCTGCCGCGTTTCTAAACGCCGCGGTTTCACAGAGCCAGAAAACGGTCTGCTTGAAAGCTCTTTTAAAAGCAATTGTGTTTAGCATCAAAAAGAATAAAATACTTAGGAATACACTTAACCAAGGAGGTGAAACAGTGTGCCAATGACGGAACCAAGGTGAAAGAAATTAAAGACACGAGTAAGTGGAAATGCTCCCGGTGTTCGGGAATTAGAGGACAGTAACGATACTACCCAAAGGGGTCTAGAGACTCCACGCCATCCCTATCAAAATCCCAATGATGTTTTCAAAAATATAAAAACCCATTGTGAAATTCATATGGAATCTCAAGGGAGCCTTACACAAGAAGAACGCAGTGGGAGGCCTCACACTTCTGGTCTCCGACACACTCCACGGCTACCGTGGTCAGAACAGAACAGTCGTGACACAGATCCACGGACTAGAACCGCGAGTCTGCGGTAATCTCGTACATCTGTGGTGAGCCGACTTTCAGCAAGGGTGCTGAGACCGTGGGGGAGCGTTATCTTTCAACAAGCAGTGCCGGGCCAACTGGACGGCCACACGCACCGCAGTGAAGTCACACCCTCACCTAGAACTGTGTACAGTCGATAACCCAAAACAGATCCAAGCTCTAAGCATGAGACCTACAACCATACAAGTCCTAGGCGAGAACACGGGGACATCCTCACAGTGTTCGCTTCGGGAATGGTTTCTCGGACATGATGACAGAGCACGGAAGGAACACCGACGACCTGACGTCCATCCAAGTCGAGGCATTGCGTGGCCGTCACTGCCGTCCACCCCATCCGCAGGGCGGCGGGGCGGCCAACAGAGCGGGAGAAGATACACGCGAACCTCATACCCGAGAAGCGTCAATATTCAGAATATACAAAACACCAACAAAGACGCCAAGTAACCCAATCAGAAAATGGACACAGGACTTAAATAGACGTTTATCCAAAGAAGATAGACCAGCGGCCGAAAAGCCCATGAAGAGATGCTCAACGTCACTGGTCGCAGGGAGATGCAAACGGAAGCCTGAACCATCACTGCACGCTCGGTGTCTAGCTGTCCTGCGCCCATGGCGGGGACGGGACCTGACAAGTGTGGCCGAGGACCTGGGACGACGAGCACGCGAACGCTGTCGGGGGGAGAGGAAAACGGCAGGGCCACTGTGGGAAACACCGTGGGGACCCTCGACACATCAAGTGGAATGGCCGCGCGATCCCGCAGCTCCACCTCCAAGTGTTTCCAACAGGCCTGGGCGCACAGTCCAGAAGGGACCCTGCACCCTGTGTGCCACAATGTAACTCACGGTAGCCTCAACGTGGAAACGACCGGAAGCCCGGCTGTGGATGAACGGACACACAAATGTGACCCATGCCTACAGTGGGATATGTTCAGCCTTCAAAAGGCAGGGACCCCCCATCGGCTCCCGTGCGGTGACGTCAGGACATGATGCTGAGTGAACGGCCAGCCGCAGAAGCACAAACCCCATTGACTGGCTTGTGTGAGGCCGTAGTCGTCCAGTTCAGAGCCAGAGGGCAAGGTTGGTCTCGGGCGGGGGAGGAAGAAGAGGGAGTTTTTGTCTCATGGGTGCAGAGTCTGGTGTGGGGACTGAGCTCTGGGGGCTGATGGGGGTCCTGATTGCCCAACAGTGTGAATGTACGTTACGCCGCGAACCTGTACAGGTGATGGGAATGAAAATGGTAAACTTGACAATTACTGCAAAAATGTTCCAAAGACAGCATTTCAAATATCTGAAGGTTGCCCTGGAGTACCTCCAGTATAAGTGCGTCTATTTCCTTCCGCTGTTCGCTGTGGGACACGCAGCCCGTCATGCCCATCCTGGCCCCTCGGTTCCTCACGCCCGCGAGCCACCTGCGGCCCCTCTGACGCGCGGCCACGGTCCTCCACATGGCTCTGACCGGTTAAACGGGAAAAGGCCTGTTCCCCCCTCGGTCTGCTTACTGGACTGGTCCCAAAGCCCCCGGGTTCCCACCAGCGCGTCGTCACCTGTTCACTCCTGCAGCTAAACCCGGGCCTCCCTTCTCAGGTGTCACCGCTAAACCTCTGGGTGGTCCGAACTCTTCCGTTATGAAAAAGAAAATCGCATGTGGTCTGTGCCGACGGACTCAAGCGAAAAGGAACTGAGTGGACGCTGGATATTCCAGACGGTGCTTCCGCTGGGGCTGACGCGGGGGTTCCGGGATGTCACCGGATCCCAGTTACTTCCTGTCCCAGCCCCGCTCTGCCTTCCCCAGAGGTTGTCTTGATTTTCGGGCTCATTTCTCCCAGGTCCATGGTGGTGGGACAAAGCGAGCACATTATTCCCAGCAACCCCCAAGTCTCCTTGCCTGGTTAGTGTCCTACTGGGGCGCACCCCCGGTCGATCTCTGCGCCCAGGGTGATAGTTACGCTGCACCTTGGTTCTGGGTCACACCTCTGCCCGAGATGGCCTCCTCTCCTCCGTGCGCTGAAGGTGGGGGGAGGCAGGCCCCAGAAGGTCAGGCAAGGTCGCAGCGAGCAACGAGCACAGTGGCTCCCGCCACCCTCAGTTCACGTGGCCGGGCCTGCAGTGGGCCAGGACGCAGCCCGGCTGGTCGCTGATAAATGCAGTCCTGTCAGAACCTTTAGGGAAGTTATTTGGGACCCAATTCCAACCGGCGCGGGGTTCTTAGCTCAGCGGTGTGTGCTCGGGGTGACTTCCAGGCTTCGCCACACTCGGCAATGAGCACGTCATAAACACGTGTGTACGCGGTACATAAACACACACGATGTAAACAGGCACTAGCACAGCCCTCGGCCCCACCAGCGTCTTCCTCCCAGACGACACTACCAGCCTCCTTGCGTGGGGTCGCGCAGACACCAGCCGTCCGGTCCCAAGTCTGGGTTCTGTTTCCTGGGCCCAAGTACACTGTGAGCAACCTTAACCCGGCACCGAGGCTCCTGGGGAGCTGCCCGTGGGCAGTAACGCCCTGCGACGCGGGGGTTCTTCCGCCATCATCGAGGAGAGAGACCTTTCCTCCGCGTGCCCCAGATTTCTCACCATCTCCGACCCCGGGGGAGAAGGAATGACGGTAACAAAGTGCACGCAGGGTTCGCTGCGTGTCACGTCTGCTCTGAAAGCACATGACAACCTGAGGAGGTGGGTGGTGATCATCACGTCACCGTCTAAGGAAAGGAAGGGAACTGAGACTCGGAGAGGGTACCTGGGGGGGGGTGGCTCTCACCATGGAAGGGGCATTTGGCCTCCACACCACTCACCGCCCAGGTCCAGCCCCCAGGCAAAGGTACAGGTGAGTCAGCTGTAAAAGCACCACAATAGCAACAAACCCACTGGGGATAAATCCTTTACAAAGCAGTTTGTTGTCATACGTGAATCCAATAGCTTGCTCCTCCTGGTGGATCAGCTGGTTAAAGAATCACCAACAAGCCGGGCCGGTGTGGCTCAGTGAATTGAGCACCATCCCATGGACTGAGAGGTCCCGGTTCCATTCCCGGTTGGGGCACATGCCCTAGTTGCAGGCTTGATCCCCAGTAGGGGGCATGCATGAGGCGGCTGATCGATTTTTCTCTCTCACATCAATGCTTCTCTCTCTCTCCCTTCCCTCTAAAAAAAAAAAAAAAAAAAAATCAATGAAAACATATTTTTTTAAAAAGAATCAGTCTTATATCCCCAAAATAGCGGGACAGAGGCCAAGCCAATGCGGCAGGACCATTGCCAGCACAAGGTCAGTTAGAGCCAGGAGGTGCTGGCATCGTGTCCATGAAAGTAGGAAAACTCAATTTAAAAACTCTCCTTACACCTACTTTCCCTGAACAATGGCCATGCGTGGGAGAGGCCGAGGGAGTCCCGGGCTGGGCACAGCGTCGGCCCGGGGCCCTGGAGCGGGACTTACCGCCCAGCCCTCCCAGGGCTGCCCTGCGTCGCCCGACCAGCCTCTGCCGCCCCCCCCCCCAGGCCCGCTGTGCGGAGAGGGGTCCTCTAGTGGCCGCCAGAGTTGAAGGAGCCACACACAGCTCGGTCCTTCTACAGACACCCACCGGGGAAGGGGCGGTGGTGAAGGGACGGCATAGCGGGAGGCGGGGCACACGCTTGTCCCCGAGGGAGCCCGCAAGCTGGTCTGCGCAGGAGGAGCCCTCGGGAGAGCGGCCTGGGGCGGCCACTGCGCGGGGGTGGGGAGGGTGGCCAGGCCTCCGCTCTTCTCCCCAGCTCCTGCGTGTCTCCGCGGGCCCTCGGGGCAGGAAGGGGGCACGTCCGGAGGGCAGGGAACAGGAGGTCCAAGGGTGCTTTCGGAGATGGGTAAACTGAGTCACTGAAAGGAAAAATGGCATGTTCCAATAAAGAAAAAAGCAGCCCAGAAGGAAGACCTCCCTGATTTCCTGTGGCCTGACGCCTGCAGGGAACCAACAATCTCAGGGGACAGCTACCCCCCCAGGCTCCTTCCTTCCCAGTACGTGGGGCCGCCACCCTGTGGCCGCACTGGCCACCTTTGTTCGGAAGTGGTTCGGTGCACGTGTCCATGACTCAGCACCCACCGCAGAAGTTTGCATGAGTCACTGGTGTGGGCGAGGCTGTGGGTGCCATGATCTCAGTAGCTTCTCTGCACACACGTGTGTCTCTGTTTGATTCACGAAGGTGACGCATCGGAGGAGGTGGGCCTGAGCCTGGTGTCCCAGGCAGCATCGACCGGAGACGTGGGGGCCCTGACCGCCCTCATCCGGGAAGACCCCTCGGTGCTGGAGAGCTGTGATGGCGAAGGTGAGCCCGGTGCGGGGACCCGACGGACCTTGTGCTCTGTGCGCTTGGGGAGCCCTGGGAGGTGAGCGGGGTGTCGCATTACCCCCCGCCGGCCGCTTCCACGCTGGAGGACGGGGAGCAGCCTGTGGCTGGCGGTGCAGGCCCCTCGGCGGGTCTGAGTGAGGGACTTGGCCTCACAGTCAGGCTCCCTCACATCCCCTTGGTGAAGCAGTCAGCGGGCGTGAGTTTGTCCCCAGCCCGTCCGGATGACACGCACTGTAGGGCCGAGGCAAGGGTGTGGGAAGAAGGTCACTGTGCAGCGATGGGCATGAGACAGTGTCACTGCTACAGACAGAGGGGGGGCGTCTGCTTCTGGGGAGACAGAGTCGAGGAACCTTTCTCACTATTCTTTCTGCTAAACACAACCAAAAACCCAGGCGTCCATACAAACTAAACATAAGCATGCTCTGGAAGGTGGAGATCACATGACACGCAGGCGGGGACCTCGGCATCCAGGAACGACATGGCAGAGTCGCTGGGGATTTGCCTCCTAGGATGCAGACTTGGAGCCAAGGAAGCCAGGGACCTAGATGGCAGCAAACAAGACCCCGCAAGCCTGCCCCCCGCAGCCAAGGGGCCGGAGAGGAACGGCCTGGCCAAACGCGAACTCCACACAGTGATGAGTCGACTCCCGCCAACACCTCCTCAAACAGCCAAACGGGACCCTATGCACGGCCCCACCCCACCATTCCAGCAAGGACCAAGCGGAGCCTGGACCTCCACCTCAGCTGGTGGTGACGAGGTGTCCCCACCCCGCCGGTGGTGGTGGGGCCCAAGGGGGTGTTCTCGAGAATTAAGACTTTCACCATCGCCGGCAGTCGTGAGACCCCCTCCCTCCAATGCTGATGCAGACTCTGCAGGGAACCCGGCCCTCCGACCCCGCCCCCCACAAGAATGACGTGACACCCCTCCTTTCCCATTGAGTGTGTCAGAGGATGCCAGTAAAATAAGTACGATTAAGCGACTCATAACTCAACACCCTAAATGTCCACATTTCAATAGAAAATCACTTGTCATACCAAGGAAGACCTCAAACTGAACGAAGAGAAAGACGATCTGGCAAAGATTTCCAAGTAGCCAGGAAAAAATAAATACGTGAACTTCAACTACAAACATGCTGGAAACAAATGAAGAAAACAGCCTCAGCAAAGAAATGATACACATAGAAAAACCACATGAAAGTTTTTAGAACTCGAAAATTAATCACAGTTTAAACTCAGTGGATAAGCTCCTCAGCGGACATGAGCCATGTTGATCAAGCAACAGAACGGAGCCTCAGGGACCTCTAGGACTAAGCTCTACAGTTTCTCCTGCCCAGTATTTCTGGGATGTCACTCGTGATTTTTAACCAGCTGGTCTGTCCCGAGAGGAGCTCTGAATTCCCCGATCATGAGGGCAAAGCGTTTGAAGACTGGTGGCTCCCTCATGCTTCTTGGTAATGTTTGCGTATTTGTTTGTTTTCAAAGCAGACTTACTTGTACATCTGCCGTGGGGCTGGACTCGAGTCCAGGGGGAGCCAAAGTTTAGACACCACTAGTGAGATGAGCGCAAGAGCCAGAGGATGGAGTTCAATCCCGACTTGGGCTGACCAGCTACGAATGGGAAAGAAGATACAAGTTATCAACATGGTGGGACTCAGCTAACGCAACACTAAGAGGGAAATTTATAGCACTAAATACATCTATTAGAAAAGAGGAAAAGTATCAGTCAACAACCTAGCAACACTAAGAGGGAAATTTATAGCACTAACTACATCTATTAGAAAAGAGGAAAAGTATCAGTCAACAACCTAGCAACACTAAGAGGGAAATTTATAGCACTAACTACATCTATTAGAAAAGAGGAAAAGTATCAGTCAACAACCTAAGCTCTCACCTCAAAGACCTAAAAGATGAAGAGCAAAATAAACTCAAAGCAAACAGTTAAAAGTAGAAACCAATGAAATTGAAAACAAAAAACAATAGAAAAGTCAATGAAATAAGGAACAGATTCTTTGAAAAGATTGATAAAATTGACAAACTTCTAGCAGTAGTACTGACAGGAAATGAAAGAAGATACAAATTACCACTGTCAGAAAGGAAACCAAAAATCTCACTACGGACACCGAAAGTGAAATGAGGAACTGCAACAAACAACTCTACGTACATAAATCTTATTATTTGGATTAAACAGATTAACTCCATGAAAAAGATAAACTACCACAATTCAGCCAATAAGAAATAGGTCATTTGAATAGACCTATAACGATTAAGGAAATTAAATTCCTAATTTTAAAATTCTCAGACAAAGAAATATTTAGGCCTAGAGAGTTTCACTAAACATTTTTACAAACTTTTATTTATTTACTTAAATTTTTTTTTCTTTATTGATTTTAGAAACAGAAGGGAGAGGGAGAGAGAGATGGAAACGTCGATGAGTGAGAAAACATCAATTGGCCGCCTCCTGCATGCCCCCCACTGGGGACTGGGCTCACAACCTGGGCATGTGTTCTGACCGGGAATCGAACCAGTGACCTCAATGCTCAACCACTGAACCACACCAGCCAGGCTAGAAACTTTTAACTAATAGTTAATGTCAATTCTATATAATCTCTTCCAGAAGAGATAAGAGGGGGAAACTTTTCCATTATGTTTATGAAGCCAGACAAAGTTTGATATAAAAAATAAACCTAGCCCTGCCTATGTGGTTCAGTGGTTGAGCGTCGACCCCTGCACCAAGAAGTTCCGGTTCAATTCCCGGTCAGGGCACATGCCCAGGTTGTGGGCCAAATCCCCAGTGGAGGGCCTGCAGGAGGCTCCAATCGATGTTTTCTTTCATCGACGCTTCTATCTCTCTCTTCCTCTCCCTTCCTCTCTCTCTAAAATCAATAAAGAAAAAATAAATTTAAAAAATATATATAAACCTACAGCTCTGGCCGGTTTGGCTCAACAAATAGAGTGTCAGTCCTTAGACCAAAGGGTCTTGGGTTCGATTCCTGGTCAAGGACAGGTACCTGGGTTGCAGGTTCAATCCCAGGCCCTGGTCTGGGTTGCTCAGGAGGCAACCAATTGGCGTGTCTCTTTCACATCGATGTTTCTCTTTCTCCCTCCCTCCCTTCCACTCTTATCTAAAAAAATCAATGGAAAAATATCCTCAATTGAGGGTTAACAAAAAACCTACAGACCTATACTCCTCGTGAATATACAGATATCCTTGGCAAAATATTAACAAATGGAATTCAGTAATATGTATGTATGTATATGTGTAAAGAATTCTGCACCATAACCACGTGAGATTTGTTCTGGGGATATAAGTCTGGTTCAATATTGAAAATCAATCAGCGTAATCTATCATATTAACCAGCTAAAAAGAAAAGATCGCAGGATCCTATCAATTGATGCAGAAAAAGCATTTGACAAAATTCAACATTCATTAAAAACTCTCAGAAAATAAGACTGGAAGGGGACCTGCTCAGTCCGCACCTACAAACCCCCAGAGACACCGTGTTGCTGAATGGTGGAAGGCGGTGCTCTGCTCCTCAGGTGGGGGACGCGCACCCACACTCGGCACGGCCAGTGCTTATGGCAAGAACCAAACCGGAAGCAGACAGTGTGAAAAGGAAAACATTAAACTACTCTTTACTTTCCTGGTGTGATTGTCTACGTAGAAAATCCTAAGAAACCTACCCAAAAACTACAACTAAGCGAGGTCAGCAAGGTCACAGGCTATAAGAGCAATACACAAAGCAAACTATATTCATATGTGCTGGAAATGAGCACATGGACACCAAAATTAAAACCACAATACCGTTTCAAATCACTCAATAAAAAGTCCTTAGGTATGAATGCAACAAAATTCGCACTTGTACACCGAAAACCACAGAATGCTGACGAGATACAGCAGATCTGAGTAAATGAAGAGACCCCCCGTGTTCATGGATTACAGACTCAATATAATAAACATGCAACGCTCCCCAAATTCATGCACAGGTTTAATGCAATTTATATCAGACCCCAGCAATATCTTTGTTTGCAGATAGAGACAAGATTATCAGAGATATAGACAGAAAGGCAGAGGAGCTAGAATAGCTGAGAACAGTTTTGAAAAAAGAAGAATGAAGTGGGAGGAATCAGTCTACCCAGCTTCACGACTTACTGTGCAGCTACATCATCAATGGTACTGCTGGAGAACAGACCAATGGAGATGAACAGAGAACTCAGAAAGGGACACACACACAACTATGCTCAGAGAGGGAGAGAGGAAAAGGAAGGAGAAGGGAGGGGAGGGGAGGGGAGGGGGGAGGGAGGGAAGAAGGAAGGGAAGAAGGAAGGACAAGGGAGGGCAAGAGAGAGGGAGGAAGGGAGGAAGAAAGGGAGGGAGGAAAGGAGGGAGGGAGGGAGGAAGGAGGGAGGCAGGAAGGAGGGAGGCAGGAGGGAGGGAGGAAGGAGGGAGGCAGGAAGGAGGGAGGCAGGAAGGAGGGAGGGAGGGAGGCGGGAGGGAGGCAGGAGGGAGGGAGGCAGGAGGGAGGAGGCAGGAGGGAGAGAGGGAGGCAGGAAGGAGGCAGGAAGGAGGGAGGGAGGGAGGAGGGAGGCAGGAAGGAGGGAGGCAGGAGGGAGGCAGGAGGGAGGCAGGCGGGAGGCGGGAGGCAGGCAGGCAGGAGCCTCACCGCTGCCTCCCGCAGGACAGGGGCCTGAAGAAGGGTAGGAAGGGGAGGGAGAGGCCCGCCTGGTCTTCCCGAGAGAGGAGCTGCCCAGGAACCGTGGTTCTCAGGGATCGCTGAGGCGCATACGGAGAAGAACCGCTGATCCAAGCCCTGAGCTGGGCAGGGACCCTCTGGGTCTGGTCTCTTCACTGGGGCGGGGCTGGGCAGGGAGCACCGGGAACTGCCCCCCAGTCCGGCCTCCACAGCAGCTGGGCAGTTCATCGACAGGAGTCATTTTGTCCCTAGTCTTATCCGGAGTAAAACACGGAAAACTAAACGCTTGACCTGTACTGATCCCACATACAGAGAAGTATTTCCGTGACGGTGGCCCCTTTTAGCAAAGAATTTGCGCGACCCAAGGCTGGGCCACCATCTCTGCCCGGTGCCAGCCACTGGCTCCAGTGACCGGGCGCTGGGCCGGCCCGGCTGGCTCTCCCAGGGCTGCGCTGTTCGAGCCGCAGGAAAAGCCTGGCACATCCCAGGTGCTGCTGGTGCCCATCCGCGCTCCAGCATCTGCACGGTTCCTGCTAACCAACAGTTCCTGCAGAAGGCGGTGGGCCAGGAGAAGGGCACTGTTCTGTGTGTCGCGATGATTGCTTTTTAGTCCGTGCAGCTCAGCCACTGGGTTTGGTCGAGGGCGGTTTATTGACAGGCGAAGAGTGTAATAATTAATGAGCGGGTCAATGAAGACTGCCCACGCAGTTCACAAGTCCAGCGTTTCGGAGAGGCTGTCGAATGTCTTGCTGCAGGATGCACCCCCTTGATGCATGCGGTGTCGGGGCGCCAGGTGGACACCGTGAAGTTGCTGCTGAAGATGGGCGCCAACGTCAACACCCAGGACGCCTACGGCCGCACAAGCCTGTGCCTGGCCACCTACCTGGTACTGACCCGTCCGCCCCGGGTGCTGAGGGACAGGGCGGGCTAAGTGTGTCCCGAGGTCCCCTTGCAGAGAGTGTCCTTAGATCCATGCAGCTGGCCAGTGGGAGCTGAACTTGGAGCTCCCCTTCAAGCACCCCGACACGTGCACCAGCACTTAGAGCTGGTGTGATGGACTCAGGACATTTTGTATCTTGGAGACAGTGATGAATGGGCATTAGAGAGACAGTCTTTTCCGTTATCCCTGCATCAGAAGGTCCCTTGGGGCCCTTCTGGACACAACGGGCCCTCCTGAGGACACCGTCCCTCCAGACCCTGAGTGGGCGGCACACCTGAGGCCGCAGGTAGCCCCTGTGGGCGGGATTAGTTGAGCGGAAGGTGGAGGATGAGGACCTGGGGAGAGCAGGGGAGGGGAGGGGAGGGGAGAAACCCAGGTTCCTGAGGGGCAGCACCTGCAGAGGACTCGAGCCACAACCAGTGCTGTTTGAAACTTGTGTCCGACCATTCTCATCACGGGAGATTTCAGCTTAGCATCTCCCAACAAAGAGTGAGCTTGGTGAGCGGAGCCGAAACCCCCAGCCCTCCTCTCAGACCCTCCCCAAAGCCCTCTGGGGACCCACTGCAGGTCAGACAGCTCTCCCTCCCCTCCGAGGAAGCCCCTGGAAACTGTCCCCACAGTGACGGGCTGCCCATTGACCGCGGACTGGCCCCGGGCCCCACGCCCACTGCAGCCCCGGGACCAGGGCACCACCCTCCCCAGCCCCAGCTCGGCATGGACGCCGGGCCCGGGGCCGGTCCTCAGAGACCCTCTCTGCACACTGCCGGCTGTCCTGTTCACGCGCCGCCTTTCTCGGGACTCACGTGAATCTGGGGAGAATCTGCAGAGTGTTGGGGCGCTCGTTTCAAATGTAGCTTCTGGGAGTGCACCCTAGACCTCCGCGTCAGCTTCTGGGGCAGGCGGGGTTTGGGGCGGGGGCTGTGTGTTACGCACACTCCCTGGGCATGTGGGCGCCCACTCGAGGTAGAAAAGCAGCGGTCTGTAAGTCCTGGGTGAAGCCGACGTGGCAGACAGACACAGGCCCGCCCTCCCTGTTAGCATTTGCCCGGAGAAGGACGCCGGCTGTGCAGCCTCGGTGTCCGAGCCGGACCCAGGACATTCGGGCCGGGGCTGGAGAAGGCGGTGGAGTGTTTCGGGGGCTGACTGCTGCAGCGTCTCGAGTAGACCGCGCTATGCTTCCCTTGAATTCTAAATGCAGACGGTCCTGGGCAGGAGGCCAGTAAGGGGCTGGGGAGAAGCACACGCCCAGGTCGCAGTGACCGGTGTTCCTGGGGACCTCTGCAGGTGACTTTCTAGGAGGGCATTCTGAGGAGACTCCTGGGGCAAGCATCCGGCCTGTCCGCATGTGGCCCCTTAAGGACGCCCCCACCTGCGTGGGGCCCAAGGCAGCTCCTCCCCACACCCTCCTGAGGCTCTGCGGGGAGGGGTCTTGAGGTTTGCACTGTGCAGCCCACACTCCCTCTGACAACGTGTGAGCTCAAGCCTTGAAGAGAGCTTGGCAGAGGGGCACTTAAGTGAAGTCACAGTCACAGCCCAACGTCAGGGTGCAGACGGACTGGCCCAGGTGGCAGCCTTGGGCCAATCACTGCATCTCTGCGCCTCGGGCCCCATCTGTGAAGTGCAGGGAATGGGGAGCCCGGATGCATCACGACGGACGACAAGCACACGGAGTCGCCTGGCGCGGTCGGCACAGACGGACTTGGTTCTGAGTGCTGACCCAGGGTTTCAGAGGCGCCCCTTAGCTTCCTTAGCTCTTTTCTGAGGAAAGAAAACACACAATTCCAGGAAATGTTGCAAAATGATTAAAATGTTTCCAGCCCTCCCCATCAGATTTGTTTTCCAAAAACTGGAAAACTTTGGTGACTCTAGAATTTGGCATCTCTGGGATCTGTCCAGAATGCTTTCGCTTGGGTCTCCAGGTCACATTTTTCCCTCCTAGTGAGAGACCTTGGTGACTTGGACGTGAGCAACTAAAACCAGATTTAATACCTTAGTCAACTCTGACTCAAGGCTGAAAAATACTTACAACTTAGCTATTATTGGTCAACTCTGCAAAATCATATTTCATGTTCTAGCTAGGAATTTTGCTGTGCTTTTGTCGAAAGATTTTTTTCCCCAGACTTTTCAGAACCAAAAGATTGTTTCCCTTTTATGATCTTCCTGTCCCGCATGCATTTCATAACATTTGGATTTTGCCTCCTTCCCATGTTAAGGGGGGAAATCTCCAGTCATCTTTCTCATCGGACATGGGGGTCTTGAGGCTTAGCTGCAGACAGGAGGGAGGCTGGGAAGAGTTACCGTATTACCCTTCGCTGGAGGAGTTTCAGCCACGTATCAGGATGAGCATAGGGGGCGCTCTGCTCGGTGGCCGGGGCGAACTGGTAATCAGCAGGGATGAGTCAGTTACTGAAAGGCTGGAACAGAGGAGAAGGCACATCTGCAGTGATGTCCGCCCCAGAGTGAGAGCCAGTGTGGGGACGGGCCCCTGTCAGTGCTACGAGGCGGGGAGCGGCGGAGGCGGGGAGCGGGGGAGGCGGCAGCCCGGAGAATTGGGACACAGCCGGAGTTCACACGAAGTTTCTCAAGGAACTCATAAGTGGATAAAAATGCAGCAATGGGGAACCCTGAGAAGGTGATGGTGACACCCCCATGTTCGGCATCAGAAAAATCCATCCACAAGGTGGCAGGGCCCCAGCCACTGGAGTGGGGCTCAGGTGCACATTCTGGGCATCGGAAGGGCCGACTGGAGTGAGCACGACAGTGTCCTTGTGGTTACTCAGAAGGGAACTGGGAGACGAGGACCAGCCTGTTCATCAGACACAGACACACAGGGCCTGAGGCTCAATGATCCAGGAGCCCGGTGTGGGGACTGGACCAGGCACCAGGGTCGGACCACGGACAAGCACGGTCTGGAGCTAAGCCCATAGAACGAGAAGCTGGAGCCAGAATCACCCCATCGCGCGCCCTTGGGACCGAGTGTGGGTGTGGAGTAGCAGGGAGTGTTCCTGGAAGTGGGGAGGGGGCAGAAGAGAGTCTAGGAATCAGCCTCCATCGGACGGGGTACAGTACCCCCGGGAAGCTCGGGGTCCCCCCCAGCCCTCCGCTGAGGTGTGCGCATTGGGGTTGGGCTTTAGCCAACTTCAGCGAAGTAAACCCTGTTCTGCCGAAGCCAAGGAGGGGAGGGGCGGGGCTGGAGGGGGCCGAGCTGCGGCCGTAGGTAACAGCTGTCGCTCTCCCGCGGCAGGGCTGGCTGGAGGGCTGCGTGAGCCTGCTCCGGAACGGTGCCAAGCACAGCATCCCGGACAAGAACGGCCGCCTGCCGCTGCACGCGGCCACCGCCGAGCCCGACGTCAGGTGAGTGTCCGGGGGCGCGGAGCAGGGCGGGGAGGGGCCCACGTGGATCGGGTACCTCCACCAACCCTCTGGGCAAATAAAAAAATCCATCCTTCTTTATTTAAGTTGGAGCCAGCAAGACCACATGTGAGTAAGTCAGAATATCCCGGAATAATCTTAAGCTCGATGTGGTCAGCCCTTCTCTCCTGGTCTGATTTAAGAAGCAATGCTACGGTCCTCATCCGAACGCGTAGGCTCATGCGTTCAGTCAATCCACCGCTTTTCGTTCAGTAACTGCTGAGTTACGGGCCAACTGCTGTTCCCGGTGAGGACGACAGCGCCCCTGACCCCACGGGGCTCGCACTCCTCAGAAAGCAGGGCGTCCGTGCTCCTTGGAAAGCAGGTGCACGGCAGCTCGGGGCGCTGCCCAGGGCAGCGGAGAAGGTCAGACGAGGTGAAGCACACTGACCCAGCCGAAAGGCGACCGTCCGGGCCTAGAATCAGCCAACGCTTCCAGGCCGGGAAAGAGCCGAGGACCGAGCAGGAGACGGAGACGGAGGCGGGAGCCCGCGGGGGAGAGGACACCCCGACCCGTGTGCTGCTGAACGGGTGGGAACAAACACCCGAGAGCACGGACGGCCCCGAAGGTCAGGCCCTCGTGAGACGCTGAGCAGGGCTGGGAAAGGGACAGTCTCTCGCAGACCGGACGTGGCCTCCCGTCCTCCGTGTTCCCGAGGCCGCAGCCTCCGATCTGCTGAAAGCCCCTCGGAGCAGCTGACAGCAGCGCTTCCTGCCGGGGGACTGGGGCGTTTTGGGTGCTTCCCGACCCTGGCCCACAGGAAGGCCCCCACAGGAACTGAGCGTCCTCCGGAGCCAGGCCGCAGGCAGCGGGGGCACATGGCGCCTGGCCCCGCCCTGTCTCAGAGCCCAGCTGAGAGCTGTGGGGGGCGGCCAGGGCCCCCTCCAGGCGGGAGGGAGAGGTTTCTTCATTTCAGCCTCTTTTACCCTGAAATGAAAGGGCTTGGAAATTCCAGGACCGTTCCCAACCAAGCCTGGCTTCTGAAGATCACTGGACTGGATCCAGGAATAACAGAAAACTGGAAATTGCTCAAAGCCCAGCAAAACAAGGAAGTTTTCTGAAGAAATGGGGAGCTCAGAGCTGGTAGCCGTGCAGCCAGGACGGCCTTTCGGTGAATCAGGGGAAATGACTCTTCTGGACGACGCACGAAACATTTAGTCACAAAGTTCACACTGTCCTCCAAGGAGGAATGTCCGGAAATATGTTAAAAATGTACCTTTCAAGACTCTCTGCCTTGAGTACACAGTTACTTCCCCTGCCTGGCTCAGCGGGGCCCTCAAACTCCGCCTAACTGATGCGGGAAGATAAACGCCTGGTTCGCATCGTGATTATTGCTGTCATCATGATCAAAGCCCAGCGTTCAGGGTGAGAACACAGGATGGTTTAGTCCGATGTAGCTGTTCCTGCTGGGGGAGGGGTGGCTCCCTCCACATGGCCATCCAGGGGCCCAAGTTTCTTCCATCTCAATGGCTCTGTCATTCCCTAGGGTCACAGCCGGTGGGCAGGGAAAGGGGCCTGCAGGGGCGTCCCTAATTCTTTAACGTCTCAGCCTGCGAATGACACTATTCACGCCACTTACCTTCCACCAACAAGGTCCAGCCACTGGGCCACACCCGAGTAGGGGTGCTGGGAAGAGAGTCCCCAACCAAGACTCCACCTGCCGGCAAGGACTGCAACCCAAAAATAGAGGGGCACGGTTGCCCCTGAGGGGTGCAGGGGCCTTGTCAGTCAGTCACAGTCAAGGTCAGCCTGTGCTGTCAGTGAGGCCCACCGGCCGCAATCACAGGAGCAGCACGTGGAAATCCAGGCGTACCCCTCTGCCTTAGTCTGCTTCTCGCCGCGCCCAGCAGTGACCCCGACTCTGGGAGCCACCTCGTGGACCCCGAGACCACAGACTCATGACGTTCCCTCCTCTCGAAGTTGCCCTGATGACCCAGCCACCCCGTCCAGGGGGCGGGAGCCAGAAGATGCACACCCTTCCGTGTGCTGCCGGTGTCAGTTCACAGCCCTACCTGGGCCTCCGGCGATTCTGGGGCCAAGACGCTGCCTCCCTTACGATGCTGCGGCCACGACAGACTCGGGGGTTGGCAGTAACTGTTCCAAACCCATACCCCCATTTCTGGGGAGGGCCCCGGAGGAAGACCAGTCAGAAGTGGGTCCTCCCACGGTGTGTGGGAAAGGAGGTTCGGGGACAGTGGCAGGGTCTGGTAGCCCGCCCGACGGCTACCACACTGGCAGGGTCGCCTTCCTGGCACTTAGCCGGTAGAGGGCGTTCACCGGCCCAGGCGCACCAGCCCCGACGTCCACGCACGACCAGGTGGCTCAGCTCCGTGTGCTGGGGGAGAAGTCCAGGTTCCAGGGCAGCAGGCCCAGGAGGGTCCGCAGGGCCCGAGCGGCATCACGGCCCCGAGGCTGACCTTGGGCCCGCTACTTACCTCCCTGAGCCTCCTTCCCATCTGCACGTCCCTCGCCAGGACTCCGCGGTGCCTGGGCCGCAGTGTGCCCGTGGCTGCCACAGCGGGCCTGGCCCACTGCTAGGTGTCCCTCTGTGTCCTGGGGTTGGGCAAGGAATCAGCTTTCTTCCAAGCTATCCGATCTCTTTCCTGGTTTTTCCAAGTCCCTGCTGGGGCCTCCCCACCCCACCCCTTTCCTAGGTTTGTCTCCCCCCTTTATGGTCACACAGTGCGCATGTGCTCACAGGAGCTGCCCCCTCACCGTTCCCCCCCTTAACCTGGGGGGACGCCGGGTCTCCCCAGGAGGCTGGAAAACCAGTCCTTCCTGCCTGTCGGTGCCCAATGACCGTGAGGCTGCCCCTCCCTGGTTAATCGGCTTGCTGTCTGGTTCCCTCGGCTCCCTTTCTTCACTAATAACTAAGTAGCTGACCGAGTAACTACTGTAACAGTAGCTGTTCTCCAAAGACGAACTGGGTGGGACTTGAACAGCCCAGAGCAATCGTCTGGTTTTGTCACCGAGAGAACATTCTGGGCCAGTTTGCCTTCAAGGGTTCCCTGTGGAGCCGCACTGGCTGAAACGGGGCGTTCTAGCCTTTTCTGGCCAAGCGCCAGCCGTGGTGGAGCCGGACGGCCTCGCGCGGGCCCATCCCGGAGGGGGACGCCCTGCCCGGTCGCAGTGAGGCCGCCGCACCCGCCCGGAACCGCTTTCTGAGAACGAGGGGGTCCTGGCGGCTGAGCCCCGCCCACCCCGCACCCCGCTGCGAGGCGGTGAGCTCCCCGAGGCCACGCACCCCTCCACTCCTTCCTTCTCGGTGGACACGAGTTCAGGCCCGCGGCTGATCACCGGAGTGCGTGGCCCCCCGCGGCGGTGCTGGTGGCAGACGGTGACGGCTGTTCACCGTGTTCCGATGCTTCCACGGACGGCCGCGTCGACCCCGACCACCCTCTGTGCGACGGCAGCACCCCCTCCTCATTCCAGAGATGGGGAAACCGAGGCAGGAAGAAGAGAATGAACCGCCTCGTGCGTGTGGGGTGAGTGAGCTGCCCCCAGGACCCCCACTGTGGACGCGAGGAATCTGCTGTGTTGGCCACACTGGTCACGAGTCCTCGGCCCGCACCCGGAAGCCGAGAGAAACAGACTCACAAAAGGCCGTATCGTCCACCAGCAGGTGCTTTGTTCGTCACCACGTCCCCCATTCCTTCCTCCAGCGAGGACACTTACTGACAAGGCGCCGCTGGGCTTGTCCTGAGTCGTGTTCTCCTTCTTACTGCGTGGACGCTGATGGGCAGTCGTGTTCCTCTCCTCGTGGGGAAACTCCGAGTCCACGTGAGGCCCGACCTGAGGCCTGTGGGACCCGATTCCGCCCCCCCGCCCCCGGCCCTGTTCCGTCGCCTGGGGTCCTCGCCGTGGTCTCGTTTCACTACCCGCATCTGAGGGGCCTCGGACTGCAGACTGCGGTGCGGGCCCAGGAGGCCACTCAGGACGCAGATCTGAACCCGCTCCACTCAGGACCACGTCCTTCGGGGCAGTGACCACCCCGGGCTCAGCCCGCGGCCTGTCCTGGAAAGTAGGGATAAGGCGGAACTTACCTCAGGGGGCCGGCGAAGGAGATGGGAAATGGGTGGGAGCCACTGAGCACCCCCATGCTCGTGTGGAGTGAGTGTCAGTGGTGGTGACAGGAGACACCTGGAAATAAAGAAATACCATGAGTCAGCGCTGAGGACGCGTCTCTGCTGCTGCCACCCCAGATCTCCCCTGGCCTCCCCCTTGCACACACAGGGCACGGACTGTGTCCACACAGGTGCACACACAGGGCACGGACTGTGTCCACACACAGGTGCACAGAACCATGTCCACACACACACGCACACACAGGTGCACACACACAGGTGCACAGAACCATGTCCACAGACACAGATGCAGACACAGGTGCACACACACAGGGCATGAACTGTGTCCATACACAGGTGCACACACAGGGCAAGGACTGTGTCCACACACAGGTGTACACACACAGGTGTACACACAGGTGCACAGAACTGTGTCCACACACACACATGCACACACATGTGCACACACGCAGGTGTACAGAACCATGTCCACACACACAGATGCACACACAGGTGCACACACACAGGTGCACAAACTGTCCACACACAGGTGCACAAACTGTGTCCACACACAGGTGCACACACACAGGTGCACAGAACCGTGTCCACACACAGGTGCACACACTCACTGCAAGGCTGTCAAGGTCCAGACAGGGCTCCTGCGTGTTCTGACCCTGGGCACAGAGCTGCGAGACTCAAGAACCGGATGAACATCAAGTGCAGCCACGGGGCCCCCCGGAGCTCCCTTCCCTGCCTTTGCTCCTGTCTGTGCCCCTTTCCCCTGACTGCAAGCACGTGTATGGGCCACGCTGTGGCCATGTGCTCAGGTAGCCACACTCGTCTTCAAATCCACTCGCGTTTTCGAACCGCAGGCCCTGCACGCGCTGTTTGCGGCAGGTTACGTGCAGTGACGCCGTAAACAGAAGCTGCGTGTGAGCGAGCGAGGACTCCTCCGGCAGCCCCTTCCCCGGAGGGCCGGTTCTCTGACACCTGTCAGCTCCCCCGGGCGCCTCGGCGGAGGTCCACTGGGCGGGCTCCAGGCTCTTGGCTGGTGCAGGGATAATGACTGTTTCTAGGAGCCTGCAGGCGAGTGGGGGCTCACCGCGGGGCCAGCCTCCCCGCAGGGCTCCCCATCCTGCTTTGAGCCCTCAGCTTCTGAGCAGGTGCAGGTTTCCCCGTCAGCCCCTGGCTCCCCGGCTCCTGTGGCTGGACATTCAGAGGGAGCCCCTGTGAGAGACGGGACATGACCAGAGGACAGAGCTCCGAAGAGACGGAGTGGAGTGCACAGTGCTGGCCTGGGGAGGCTGCAGCACTGCCTCCCGGTTCTCGAAGGTCTTGTTTCATGGTCTCTACGGTTACCGGCAGATTTTCCCCTGCCCAAGAGCCGCCAGCGACTGGGCCTGTTTGCATGCTCTTGACTACAACCAGCAGGAGGAAGGAAATGAGCTCTCGGGTCCTGTTCTCAAGTGACCAGGTGAGGGTTCCCCTCTGGGGCGGGGAGAGGAGGGTGTCTCACTGCAGCGTGCTCTCATGGCTAGGCCGCTCCGGGGGGCCGGGCGCGCAGGTGGCTGGCTTAGGGACCCTTTTTCCCAGATGGCACTGGGCTGGGCAGATCCAGGGCTGTGAGTTCAAGGGTCAGCTGCTCCCAGGACATGTCTCACTGGCCCACCAATACCTAATGGCAATCAGGGGACCCCAAAATATAAACAGTAGGAGCTTTTTCTTTTGTTTTTTTTAATTGATATTTTGGAGAGAGAGGAAGGAAGAGATAAAAACATCGATGTCGCCCTGGCCGGTTTGGCTCAGCGGTTAGAGCGTCGGCCTGCGGTCCGGAGAGACCCGGGTTCGGTTCCCTCTAAGGGCATGTACCTCGGTTGCAGTTTGTCCCCGGCCCTGGTCAGTCGTGTGGGTGGCAGCCACTCGATGTGTTCCTTTCATATCGATGTTTCTCTCTCTCTCTCTGTTCCTCTCTCTCCCTCCCACTCTACCTGAACAAAAAATAGAAAAATGTCGTCAGGTGAGGATAAAAAAAAAAAAAAAAAACATCGATGTGAGAGAAAAACATCCATCGGCTGCCTCCTGCACGCCCCCACCGGGGATCGAGCCCACAACCCAGGCACGTGCCCTGACTGGGGATCAAACCAGGACCTCTCAGTCTATGGGATGACACTCAGCCAACTAAGCCATACTGGCCGGGCAAAGGTAGGATGAATCATTCTATAGAAGTAGTGACCTTTAAATGTCATTCAAAGGGCTGTAGGCTCACCGGCTCCCTTCAAGGCACAGCCAGACGTCGGGCCGCAGGTGCCACCTGGTCTCTGCCTCACCGACACGGGTCTTCGGCACTGAGGGGCCACGGGCACCGGCAGGGACCCGCACCCTGGTGGTCTGGCCCCAGCACCTATGGTCTTATCACTCTGGCCCGTGGGGGGTGCTCCGGGGCGGGGCTGCACCTGCCTCCTGCGCTGGGCGAGAGGCCTCCCCGCCTGGAGAGCTGAGACCAGGGCAGGTGGAGCTGGGGCTGGGAGCGGGCTGGGCTGAGGCGGGAGCAGCCCCCGGGGCCATCCCTGAGAGGACAGAGCAGAGAGGCCGGCAAGTCACGTGGCAACCAGGACGGTGCGGGCACGTGCCCTGCAGACTCCTCTGCGCCACCGAGCAGCCTGGGAGCGCCGGGCTGGGGGCTGGTGCAGGCGGGGGCCAGGGCGACGCCGTGGCCGAGCATCCTCACAAAAGACCAGAGAGAAGAGAGTCACCGCCACCCCTCCCACAGCAGCTGTAGGGGGAAAGCGATCCCGCAGTGCAACAGTGGCGACTGTGAAGTAGTGTCGCCGACGCAAGTGTCTGTGTGGCTCTTCCCAGCAGGGTGCAGGAAGGCAGAGGCCTGGGGCTCACCGCCCTGGCCACCGTTCCTGGGAGGACTGCGCCGTGGGCGCCTCTCCCTGATCTGTGGCTCAGCCCTCGCCGGCACTGCCGCCGTCAACCGCACCACAGAAGGGGGAAGACAGACGCCTGGGGACCCCGCTGCCAAGATTTAGCCACAGCGTGGTCGGGGCGCAGACAGACAGCAGTAAGACTGTTTCCACTGTGGGCTGCCTGGGCACTCCGCCTCCGGGGCAGTGAGCCAGAAGCACCCAGTCTGGGCCCCCGTCTGGTCTGGACCCCCCGTCTGGGCCCCCAATTGGTCTGGGCCCCACGTCCGGTCTGGGCCCCCCATCTATTCTGGGCCCCCCGTCTGGTCTGGGTCCCCCATCTGGTCTGGGCCCCCCATCTGGTCTGGGCCCCACGTCTGGTCTGGGCCCCCCGTCTGGTCTGGGCCCCACGTCTGGTCTGGGCCCCCATCTGGTCTGGGCCCCCCATCTGGTCTGGGCCCCCCATCTGATCTGGGCCCCCCATCTGGTCTGGGCCCCCCATCTAGTCTGGGCCCCCCATCAACAATTTAATTCTTACGCCCTGGCCGGTTTGGCTCAGCGGTTGGAGCATCGGCCTGCAGCCCAGAGAGACCTGGGTTCAGTTCCCGCTAAGGGCGCGTACCTCGGTTGCAGTTTGTCCCCGGCCCTGGTCGGTCATGCGGGTGGCAGCCACTCGATGTGTCCCTTTCACATCGATGTTTCTCTCTCTCTCTCTGTTCCTCTCTCTCCCTCCCACTCCACCTGAACAAAAAGATGGAAAAATGTCCTCAGGTGAGGATTAAAAAAAAAAAAACAATTTAATTCTTAGGACTTCAGAGGTTGTCTAAGCTGAGAGACACTTAACCCCCGACATTGTAACCTTGGCTCCCTCTCAGAATCCCCTGGGGAGATTTTTTTTAAACCACAGACCCCTGGGGCTCTATATTTGGGGGTCCTGACTCAGCAGGTCTAGAGAGAAGCCCCACTTCCACCTTTTAAAAACACTGTTCAGGAAGTTCTGGTAAACTGTCGGGTTTGGGAGCCACCAAGAAGGGTGCTGAATGGATTAGTCAACAGAGATTCATCGTTATGAACCGAATCAGGTGACCCTGCAATCCACCCACTGAAACTCAACCTCCCGGTGCTTCCAAACAGGACTGGAGACGGCGCCTTCCAGGAGGTCCCTGAGTGACAGCGAGGCCACTGGGCGGCCCTCCCCCGGCAGAGCAGGGGTGCCCAAGCGCGGTGGGCGCCCTCCGGGGAGAGGCCTCGGAGGAAACCAGCCCTGCCACTGAGCGGTGGGCAGGCACCTCTCGGCACCCCACTTCACAGAGGAGCAAGCTGAGGCACAGGGAGGTCGGGCTGCTTGCCGGCCGTCCCAGAGCTGGTCGGTGGCAGGGCCGGGATGTGAACCCAGGAAGTCTGGCTCCGGAGTCTGTGCCCCTGACCACTGCACTCTCCTGCCGCGCCCACAGATGAGTGTTGACCTCCGTCCACCAAGTGAGGGGCCCACGTGGGAGAGGAGTTTGAACTTCAGAATCACTGAGCGTGCCCAGCCGGTTGGCCTGGTGGGTGGAGCCTCGTCCCGTGGACTGAGAGGTCTCAGCTCTGTTCCTGGTCAGGGCACAGGCCCGGTTGCAGGCTCGACCCCCAGCAGAGGGCGTGTGAAACCCATCGATGTTTCTCTCTCTCTCCCTTCCTCTCTCTCTAAAAAATAAATAAAAACATACTTAAAAAAATAAAAACAATAAAACTGTTATAAATAAATAAATAAATAAATAATCAAAGTAGTAAGTTAAAAAAAATAGAGCCATTGGTTCACACTGGTCGTCATTTCGTGCCTTGATTCTGTGTGTTTCACGAGAACAAGCCCAGTGCCGACCACCTCCCGGTCGGTCTGCACGGAGCGAAGTCACGTGTGCCCGGAGGTGGGGCGGCTGGACCCTCTGTGAGATGGGTCTGTGGGAAGTGGGCGCAGCGTGGCCGCTGGAGGGCCTGGTCCCCGGGGCACACATGGCCACAGGCCTGGGGACAGGCAGGGGCCTGCAGATGTCCTTTCTCTTTCCCTCTGGCCCCCAGGACGCCGAGCCCAAAGGAAAGGAAGAGGGGGCGACAGAGGTGCTCTGCCCCGGGGTGACTTCTTAGCCGCCAGTCACGCTGGCCTCTCTGCCTAGACGTTTCCCTGGACACGGAGGGGCCGCTGCCTCCTCTCCGATTCTGTCCCCTTGAGCTCCTCCCGTTTCTCTCCGCAGGCTGCTGACGGTGCTGGTGCAGCAGTGCAGCCCCAGCGAGGTCAACCACCAGGACAGCGAGGTGAGCCTGGTGCGTGGGGGGGCCTCCGGAGTCGCGTGGGGGGCGCGTTCCGTGTCCGACTGAGAGGGAGCCTGTGTGCAGGGCTGACCTGCCGGCAGAAGGCTACCCTCTGGTGTGAGCAGCATCTCACGGGAGGGTGCCCGGCATCGAGTCGTAGCACTGACCTGTGCGAGTGCCCTCGGACACTGAGAGACTGCTGCTCCGTCCTGTGTCCTCGAGCCCGGGACGCGATGGCAGGCCGCAGCTGCCCATGTCCTCGGAGGGACGGGTCGGGCCTCCTTTCCAGAGGCCACACTTCTCGCCAGCGCTCACGGTCACCGTGTCCTTTCTGCCACAAAGAGAATCCTGTGGGGCGCAGGAGCCGACCCCCGCCCATCCCCCGCAGCACCAGGCCCTTGGTGTCGCCCCTCACCCTTCTCAGACGTGGGCAAGAGAATCCTGTGGGGCGCAGGAGCCCCCCCCCCCCCCCCCCCCCCCCCGCAGCGCCAGGCTCTTGGTGTCGCCCCTCACCCTTCTCAGACGGGGGCAAGAGAATCCTGTGGGGCGCAGGAGCCGCCCCCCTCCCCCCCGCAGCGCCAGGCTCTTGGTGTCGCCCCTCACCCTTCTCAGACGGGGGCCTCTCACTCCCAGCCGGGCTTCTCCAGCCAGCTCCTTAGAGCCGAGCGAGACACCTGCTTGGGGAATTGACCGGTCGGCTGGGCCTGGCAGCCGTGACTGCGAATGGATGAGGCCTGGAAGTGAATACAGTGAGAGTGAAGCGGCACCTGCTCGGACGCCCAGGACTCTCCCCAGGAAGCCAGCTGGCCATGCACCGTGGGGGATGAAGCCTCCGAGCCCCCTCCCGGCTGGCATCGGCCACCACGCTGGACAGTCCCCCTTGGAAGCCAGGACCTGAGGTGGTCACGCACCACTTTCACTACCCGCCGACACCAGGAGACCGCACTGTCTCAACTTCTGCCTTGAAAACCAGAACCAGAGAAGAGAGAGCTCGCGCCGTCCCTGGGCCGTGTGAACGCAGGGAGCCCAGCGGGCGCTCGGACCTCAGCTGGTCATGAACGTCCAGACTCCGGCCTTGCCGGCCCTCCCTCCGCCTTCGCCTCTGCCCACCAGCCCCCAAACTGCGGCTTTTTAGAAAGGGGGCAAATTCGGTCACTCATACCCTAGAAGTAAATGCCGCTTCCAGACCTCAAGCCGTCCACACTCAGCCAAACACACACTCCCCAGCAGTGCGAGCTCCCCAGCTCCTCGGGGCCCCCCCAAAGGCACCGGGACAGAAGACACAGACTATTCTAACAGTGGTCCTCGTAACACGGCAGGGAAAGTGTGTGGTAAGCACTGGGAAAGTCTCTGGTTCCTTCTCGTGCAAAGCGACCCCTCGGAGAAGCTTCCCAGGGCTGGTCAGCAGCATCTGCGCCTCGGGGACGCGCAGAAGGCAGGAGCCTCAGGAGGGACCCTCACGCCCAGGGATGCGGCTTCCTGTGCGGGCCGGGCTGTGTCCCAACGTGTCTGAGTGTCCGAAACCCAACCGAACCACCTGCTAATGCTGGCCTGTGTTCTGCATTTCACGCAAGGGTCCTTCAGTGTGAGCCTGCAGGGCTCGGAGCCCTCGGGCACAGGGGTGAGGGCCTGGCCCAGCGCACCTGCAGGGCTCGGAGCCCTTGGGCACAGGAGTGTGAGCCTGGCCCAGCACACCTGCAGGGCTCAGAGCCCTCGGGCACAGGGGTGAGGGCCTGGCCCAGCGCACCTGCAGGGCTCGGAGCCCTCGGGCACAGGGGTGAGGGCCTGGCCCAGCGCACCTGCAGGGCTCAGAGCCCTCGGGCACAGGAGTGTGAGCCCAGCTTCCTTTTCCAGTCAGTGCCGTGGAGAGCCTGCCTCCCGCTTCTCTAAGTCCTGGACCAGCCGTTCCTGCTCCCCTCCCTCGACATGGCTCCAGCGAACCCCAGCACAGCGCAGCCCTAGCTGGATACAAGGGGTGAGTCACAGGCTCGGGCCGCACACCCCACGTCCGCTGCGAACAGGAAGCACAAAGCAGAGAACTCAGGAGAGAGGCGTTCGTGCTGGGGAGCAGCGCGGTTTCCTGAGGGCAGGAGGGCGCAGGCAGGCACACCCTCCCTGGTGTCAACGAATCTGTGTTCCAGGAATAGCTGGAGGCCTCTTGAGCTGTCACCATCTATGCAAAAGAGTCAACGACCCGTTAGCAAAACTCGAACTTCCTCAAGAGATGGGCTGGGTTGTGAGCTAGAACTCAGGAGTAGAGAGGAAGAGGAAGGGAAATCTCTTTCTAAAGCCACTTCGTAGCTGCTCCATAAAATAAAACACGATGTTACTTTGTATCAGGAAGGTGGGTATCCCACTGGAGGCTTGCTGGTCTGAGCTCAGTGACTCAAAGTTCATGTTATTATTTCGTTGTGTTATGTTTCGTTTTTACTTACATGAGTAATACACAAACAATTTGCTTGTTTCGAGTTTAAATCCTACAAATAATAGCAGGGCACGCTTGATCACCTGCCCCGCACCACCTCAGCCCAGGGAAGCCACTGTCGATGTGTGTCTGTCTGTCTGTCCTCTGTGTCCATGGACACGGCGGCTGTGACGTGAATGGCATCCCACTCTGCCACTTGGTCTTTTCACTCAAGTGCGTCTCGCTCTTCTTCACATTGACGCGTGCGACCTGGCTCGTCCCCTTGGACGGCTTCTGGTTTCATTCCGTATCCACGGTTCCAGCAACGCACAGCAACCGAGGTCCGAACAGACTACACGGAAAATTCCAGAAGGAGGCCATTCATCCGCTCCCCATGGCACACTGTCCTGAGCAGCGTGACGAAATGTCACACTGTCCCTCACTGAGACATGACTCAGCCCTCCGCCTGCTACCTGCCTGTCAACACTCAGCAGCCGTCTGTGCCACCAGACTGCCCGTCTTGGGAGCACCCTGCTTGCGTTCAAGTCAGCTTTGTTTTACTGACTGACGCCCCCTTCACAAAAATGGGTTTCAGTATATTGTCACAGTGGTTCTGTTTGATGTTACCAGTGTTCATCTCTTACTGTGCCTGATTTATAAATCAGAGCCGGTCACAGGTGCGTATGGGCAGGAAAGGACAGAGTATATGCAGGGTTCGGAGTCATCGTGGTGCCTGGCATCTGCGGGGGTCAGGGAGAGGAGCCCTCCTACCTCCAAGGAGAGAGTACAACCGGCTTGTACAGACTAGGGATTTTTAAACTCAGGGCGGGGGGTGGGGGGGGTCGTTCAGCAGAGGAGACATGGTCGTCTTTGATTGGTCGGGCCTGAGGCCTCCCAAGTTCTTGATTGGTTGGGAGCTGGGGTCTCCTGAAACTTGTTTTTCTTGTCAAGTGACCTTTTGCAGTTTTGGGTGGTTCCGTCATTCCTTCCTGTTGCCTGGAGTGATGGATTTTGGTTTCCTGGAATGAGAGGTTTAGGGCAGTAATATGAAAGTTAAGAGCTAACACAACCGAGGTCTGTGCCCTTAGCAGGAACTGAACCTGGGACTCTGGTCCGCGGGCCAATGCTCTAACCGCTGAGCCAAACCGGCCAGGACGCTAAGCATTTTAGGCACCTGTTTGTTCCTCTGGAAGATTCTCAGGCAGTAGAGAGCGTGCGTTTTCACTCTCCACACACACGCCTGGCTGGCTGCTCCGTGTGGCTGCGTCGGCTCCTGCTCCAGCCACGGGGGCAGCTGCCGCTGTCCTCTGCTGGGTTTCTCCTCATTTCTGCCTCTCCTGACACACGGCGAGCCTGGGCATCATTTCACAGGCTCAGGGGACACTTCCACATCCGCTTTGTCTACTCTTCTGCTGGGTCACTTGCCATTTTCTCTGTCTTCATTGGCATAGATACATTGTTACTCCTCACCCGAGGATATTTTCCACTGGTTTTTCAGATAGAGAGGCAGGGAGGGAGGGAGGGAGGGAGGGAGGGAGGGAGGGGGGGAGGGAGGGAGGGAGGGAGGGAGGGAGGGAGGAGGGAGGGAGGAACATCAGTGTGAGAGAAACACATTGATTAGTTGCCTCCCGCATGACCCCAACCAGGGCTGGGATCGAACCTGCAACCCAGGCATGTGCCCTGAACCCGGAGTCAAGTCTAAGACCCTTTAGTCTTTGGGCCGACACTCTGACCGCTGAGCCAATCTGGCCAGGGCGGGAGTTTATAATTTGAAAATTAATCCTTTGCTGTTGGGTTGCAACTATTTTTTCAGTCTATTGCTTATTTTAGGACTTGTGTGATGTCTTTTCTTGTGCAGAAATCTTAAAATATGATACAATCGAAATGGCCACTCTCGCCCCTGACGGCTTGTGCTGCGTCTCTGAAGCCTTCCCTGCCCCCAGGGACGTGACTGCTATGCTTTGAGTTGCAAAATTTCTTTCTAAATGCGCTTACAGTCTGTCCGCTTTTTGTTTCATTCACCTCACAGTTCGTTAGGAAGTGACTTGTCCACACCCCAGGGCCGGGCAGCTGGAGTCGCCTGCCCGCCCAGCGTGCCTTTGTTCTCCTGGGCCTCAGAGGGACCGTCAGCCAAGAGAAAGGCCTTCTCATTGCAGCTTCGGGGAGTTAAGAAGTTGCTGACCTCCTGGAATCTGGGCTCTCCCGACTTCATTTTAGCTTTGGCAGGTAGAGCGCCCCACACAGAGGGGCTGTGAGCTGTGGGCGTTGGGTGAGAACTTGACATGTATCCGGAGGAGCTACTGTGCTTGGCATTGACGATCTCTCGCGGATGCTACATTAAATGCATGCTCTGATTTGGGTAGGTTTTCTGTGAGCGGCTGGACCAGCCACACTCCCAGTATAACAGCACTCAGAGAAAACAAATCCAAGTTGTAAACACCAGATGTGCACCTCTGGATGGAGTTCTTGGCGCTCGGCCCCTCAGCACAGCCCTGAGCCGTCAGCGAAGCACAGACCGCACTAGAGGGCAGAGTCAGGGGACAGAGTCCCCGACGCTGAGAACCCTCGAACTTCATAGTCCACGAAAGGTGAAATAATA